ATTAAGTTTAGTAAAATAAATTAATTAATTTATTAAACACATCATTTGCAGGAACAAAATAAAATGTAGAACAAATGAGCTAGCTCCTAATATATTTTTTTGTCCAAAAATAACATAACGATGTATTAATATAAAAAAAATAAATAAAATAACATATTACAACCCCGACAAAAATACATGAAAAATGACTCCATAATTTTTTTAAAAAGACACTAAATAACTAAATAAAGACAATGTATATTATAAATGCATTAGTTCTTTTTTTTTTATTTATGTTTGATGATTCAAGAGTGATTTTTTTTCATTTTAGTTTTGACGTTCTCATAATAAAAACATTCATACACATTCGAGTTCTATACATCAATAGACAATTTCTTCTTAGGTCATTAGGCAAAAAGTCTACTTTATTCAAACAATGCAAAATATTTTGTCCAAACATATAGTTAAACTCTATGATTATGATCTTTATAAAGTATTGCTAATAACAATTAATTAATATCTCTGTGAAATAATTAACCATATCACTAAAATTGCTGATATTATCTTCTTTTTTTTTTAAACTACTACATTATTCTCTCTCCATATAAACAAATTGACACCTCCCCCATAGAGGCATCGCCCACGGGGTGAGAATAAGTTTTATTTCCAAATAAAAGTTGACATTTCAAAATATTGGTTACATATACTTCTCCCGAGACGCTAAATTATTTTTTTAAATCATCACACATTACATGAATACTAAATTATTTTTTGAAATCATCATAAGTATATACTCTAGAGTACTTGCACATATGCTTGAGCACAATACCCCAATAAAATTGTAGATATTTCTATCAAAATATGATAACTTCATTCAAAAATTCAAAAATATTTTTATCATTCTCCGACGTTTCCTTTTCAAGGTTATTTATTTTGAAGATAGACGAACTATATAATATGTTGTTTGCAAATTATTGAGCAGCTTGGTTGATCCAATGATTTCAAACGCTTTTATTGTCCAAATTTTTGCATCAATCATAATGTTTCAAAAATTTATGATAAATATCTTTTCTTGATTCTTTAACAATGAAAAAAAAACAATGAGATAATATTGAGAAACATATCATTTGTTAAAATATTAGGGAAGAGAAAAATCAAAATTCTATTATATTATAATACTCTTCGTCATCTGTGGAATTTATTACAAAATCATTATTAAAATATATATTATGTATTACAAAGTTTTTTATTTTTTTAATTATTTTAAAAATCAAAATTGATAATATAGGGTCAATATTTATGAGAATTTAAACGCCAGTAATAAAAAATGTAGTAATTATAAAAGACTTTTGTTTCTAAATGTTGATATTCATATTTCTCTAAAATAAAAAAATCAGACTTTTTTTTTCTCATTGCCTTAATATTGTTTTATTTGTTTCTTATTATATTCACAAATAATATTTAATTTGTTAAAAGATATAGGGCATATTTATATGTATTGTTTAATTTGTTTACACATCTTATATAATTATGTTGTATCAAAGTATCTTATTTATTTGGCTACAACTATAATCACATAAGATAAAATATTATTTATTTATTTATTTATAATAATATACATTTGATAAAATTGTACTTTTATACTGTTTATAAGATTAAAAAGNNCACA